AGAGTGGCATAAAAGTAATACGGTAGTCTAATTCTATAATTTGCGACCGCAGAGAATTGCGCAATTGTCGCTGTCAAACGAGAGTTTTCTATTAAAAAAAAAATAACTTGCGACCGGTTGCTGGTTGCTATGTAGTTGCTATTCGTAGAGAATAGGCCTGCCGATCCTGCTTTATAAGTTCAAGCGGTCGAGATAATAGAGAGTTATTGGACGTGCAATAAGAACAAGCAGTATTTAAATTAGCCTTACTTTGACATCTACGCATGCGCATTTGGGTCTGAAAATAAGGATCCCCTTAATAAGGTTACTGCATGTCTTTATTTGTGTATGATTAGTGCGAAGTAGTAAACTTCCCTTATTTCAATATTTCTGACATTTTTGACGACTTTGACGTTATCAGCAGAAAATCACAAACAAAAATAAACACTTTTTGAGGTTGAAATTTCTAAACATAGCTCAGCTGTCAAAATTATGAATACAAAATAAGGTAAAATACTCTAACACCTAGAGTGCGTTCGAAATCAATCCGGGCGTCACACCGAGTGCACACCGGCCGTTGAAAATGAATTTGTATAAACTCCGGTTGACTTTTACGCTAGTTCGAAAATATCCGGGGTGCTACTTAGTGTGCACTCTTTCTTAACCAACTCTGCGCTGGGTAAATTTTACTCCTGCCATTCTTGTCAGTTTTCCATTATTTAAATCTACTACTTTCAGATTTAGGGCGGGTATTATAAAACTACTTTGAGAGTTAACTTAAAGTTAACTTCTGAAAATATATGTAATTCAAAAAGTTAACTTCAAGTTAACTGTCAAAGCAGTTTTATAATACTCGCCCTTAATCAGATTTATTTATTTATTTTCCGTTTCTGGGAAGTTGTTGATAATAATTAAGCCCAAACAGATAAATGAAATGCACAGAACTGGGCCTAAATGTTATGTTTATATGTTAGGTTATAATTATACCCCAAACTGTTCGAAAACACACCAGAAAAAATTAACTCTTCTGACCACGTGACCATATACCCACTCTCACCCTTGGGTAAAATTTTTCGAACGCACTCCTAGGTACTACAGTCTTCCAATAACTGTTATTTTCTTTGAAAAATAGTGCTGATGCACTAATAAAATAACGTAGATCCTTAATACTGCGAGGCAGTATTTAATAGTTCCAATAACTCTCTATTAAGTCGACATTAATAAGTTGACATACATAAGTCGACATAAATAAGTCGACATAAATAAGTCGACATAAATAAGTCGACATAAATAAGTCGACATAAATAAGTCGACATAAATAAGTCGACATAAATAAGTCGACATAAATAAGTCGACATAAATAAGTCGACTTAATAAGTCGACCGGCTGACTCAATAAGTCGACCGGTCGACCTAAATTTTTTTTTTAACTTGATCCTCCAGCGCTTCCGTACAATACGGCTTGAGCTCCAATTATATCTAAAAATTGAACGATTTTGGTTGAATAAGTGAAAATCTAATAGATTTATTGGGAATGTAATAGTGTAAATAATTAACCTTTGATAAATGTAATAGATTTGCTACATTTGTAATAAACTGGCAACACTGTTGACGATCGCTAGTGTAGCGCTACGTCCTGATGAACCCGAATCACACAAATTAAAATCGAAGTTAGAGTTAGATCCTGCAACAGTTAAAAACATATTATTTGTCTATGGTTCATGCAATGTCGGGTTGCGATACCACTTCGGCATTCTTTAAAAGAAGGGCAAAAAAAGTGCTTTAATTGTTTTGTCTAAAAATGAAAAACTTTCCGATGATTTATTTCAATTTAAAAGGGTTTTTAGTGATTTTGCCACTTTAATAAAATCGGGAGAAAATTTTATTCTAAAATGGTACGGCAACAGGAGAAGCCAAAATTTTAGGTAGGTATGTAAAATACAATCAGGTAATTGCACCCCAAAAACTTTGCAGACTCTTTGAGAGCTTTACCGGCCTTTACCCCCGATAACTGAAGCTGCTCAATTACATCTTAAAAGGGTTTACCTTCAGGTGCAGTCATGGTTGGGAAATAATTTAGAATTTAGACCCAAGAGAGTGGAGTTGGGTGGAAAAGGACGGTTACTTAGACCCACAAATTACAAAGAAACAGTAAGGACCTCGCTCCTGATTTTATTATAAAATTATTATTTTGCGGATGCAAGTCAGTTTGCTCCAAAACTTGTACTTGCAAAAAGGTAGAAATGAAATGTTCATCAAGCTCATTTGCCAATTTGCATTGGACAGTATTGTGACAATGCAACGAATGTGTCTTTTGTTGAAAATGATGATGGCATAGAATAATTTCTTTTTCTTTTAAAATTTTGTGTTAATGAAGTGAGTAGGTGCCTATACTTGTATATGACCGTATGATAAGGTCACAACTTTTGTACCAAATTCCATAAAAAATACAACTGGTCTAACTCTTTAAAAAGTGCCATTTTGGTACCAAATTTGATACTGTGCCATACGGACTTTAGTTTTAATAGTATGTTTCGGTTTCCATAATATTATTTGAGATTATTATTAGACGAGTAAGTAGCAGCACATTTTGGCAAGAGTATTATTTACTTATTTTTGCGTTCAACCCGTTACCTAAAATATTAAATCATACCCAGTGATTTGTATACAATTTCACACAATGGTTTTATATGACAACTACCATATTTCTTTTATGAAAAACATTCAATTAATTTGCGTCAGCGTTAATAAAGTCGAATTTGCCAAAAGCAGTTTAATAGAATCGAAGCCCAATACGTCCAATTTTTATAAGGCCATAACTTTTTTGTTTTTCGACCGATTTTCAAAAACAAAAAATGATTTTGTAGGTATTTTTACTGGCAACAATTTGGTTCTGTTGTAAATTTCCAAAAAAGTTTATAGTTTTTGAGATATTTCCAAAGAAATAAAAAAAACACAATTTTTTTAGTTTAAAGCTCGATTGGGCGAGTACGGCCCATGCGATTTAGTGCGATTTTTAAGGAAACATTGCCGACCACCTAAAGAAGGTTTCCTGAAAATTTCAGCTTGTCCCAAATTTGTTCCAGGTTGGACTCCTAGTTTTATTGGCCTATATCTTCTTGATAATTTATTTACAGAAAAAGTCCAATCTTTTCTTTCAAAAAAGATATGTGTCAATGTTCTAAGTATACGTTTGTGTTATATGTATTATGTATATGAAAAAACAAGTTCTGATACTGAATTATATCCAGTGCTACAGACAAAATGATCAGTAGAGTTTTCTCCAAAACGCTCTCCTGAAAAGTTGTTAAATCAGAGATTGGCCACTTCGTAATGACAGCGACGACATGATAATATGATGATTAAATCAATAATATGATACTCTAATAATAAAGTGATGATTATTTGGTAATAAATAAAAGTTTTGCAGATAAAATATGGGTTTTTGTGGAGATAGATAAAATACGACCATTTTCAACTAACGTTTGAGTCGAAACGGTTTGACCTACACCGATATAATTAATTATAGAAGATTTTATTTGCTTTCATTTTGAATAGAGGTGTTTTTTCCAAAAAATTGATAGTTTTCGAGTTATACGGAAAAAACTGCCAAAACTACCATTTTTTTTTTTACTTTTTTACATTTTTTTTAATGTTGCGTCACAAAATTTTGTTAGCAAATCTCAGATCCAGATTTAGCACCCTAAAAAACATAAGGAATGGAAAAAATCAAAACTACCCCAAAACTTTCCTACCCAAAATACTATTTGATTGGACTACTATATTATAATTACTAGATGCATCACTACTATACGGGGTGATTGACGTAGTCTGTGTATTAGCTTGCAGGTGGATTAGATGCTATTTCTATCAATCCACCTGCAAACAACTTCCAATGCACGGGTTACGTGTAAATCACGATGTTACTTATTCTATTTTAATTTTTAGATGTGTCGAAAAATATATCTACAAGGCTTTGTAAACATCTAATATCATCAATTATTAAAAGATTGTTCAAATCACAAAATTATAATAGAAAAAGTAAAAAAGCAGAGCCTCAAGAGTTTGGAAATAAATTAATTTACATGATGAAAAATCGGAAATATAGAAAAAATACTAATAAAATATTGGAAATAAATACAATATTTAAACTTGAAAAGAAAGTATTGAGTAAAAAATGGGTAGCAGTTTAAATAAAAAGTTGAAAACAATAAAATGTGAAGAAAAATATTGCGGGTGACTCGGGGTCATTATATTTTGACACCCACCTGCAGCATAGAATGCACCTTAATTTCTTTAATGTTCTTAAAGTTTTCGTTTTTCTGATTCAGATTATGTATAATATGTTTATTTTTCTTTTTCAATAGTTTTGGAAATATCTGGGGTTTAGTTATTCAAAGACCTATTCAGGTATCAGAATGTTTTATGCCAGATGACAGGTAAATCAAGGTATCAATTTGTTCAATCCTTAGAGCAGGTAAAGCTAAAGGAGTAGTAACATGGAGTTGGAAAATGAAGCCGTTTTTTTTTTCAGGTATTTTGGCACCAAAAAATGGCGGTATAGGCTATTTCAATGCTTTACCTGTATTTGGTGCCAAAAATCTGTCAAAAACTTGGCTTCACTTTAGTTTCATAACAGAATGGCGTTCCTACTCCTTATGTCCGTAGGACAGCGTTTTACCTGCTCTAAGGTTCAATCGAATTGAAAATTTTGGCGGTTCAGATAAAATGCTACAGCTTTTGTATTTACACCCTTTACCTTTCACCTGTAATTACGGCTGCAGGTTGGTGTTAAAATATGGTGACTCACCCTGTACAGCAAGTATCTACACCGGAAATAAAAACAGATCAAGAAAGCAAATGACGGTAAAAGCGTTGAAAAAATGAAAAGTTTTCAAATTGATATCTATACATTTTTTGAAAATCTAATTCAAGTTTCCTTCCCAACCAATCCCTCACCAAAATTTAAATTAAAGTATTTTTGAAGCTATAAACAAATAAAAAAAATCAAAGATTACTTACAATAGTTGCATGTCGTCTTTCCTCAACATTAGCAGCCCGTCCAATCCAAACAAAAATAGTTTGGGGCGATTTAATAAGAAAAACATCGGAGCTCTTGAAGTTTTCCCAAGACAAATCAGACATTTCCACTAAAGATGGAACGCACTTTCCTTTAACTTTATATAGCTTAGGCTGTTGCTTATTGCCATTTTGCAACAGAGCCGATTTAAGAACCCTAAAACCAGTTTTGAAATAACTCAAAAATCGACTACTCTCATTTTCTTGAGTCTCCCTGTGCTGCGTGGAGCAGCAACCCAACAAACCATCCAATTCCACAGTTTTATATGCGGCCACGCCAGATTTTTCTGCAGTAGTATTACTGCCCAACCAAAAATGAATGTGATATTCTATATTTTTGCCTTTTAGGTCTCTGGTTACCGAATCCACACCTGATGGAAATCCATATTGGGAAGCAGCGTAAATAATGTAGGATTCAGTGTCGTAGAAGGTACCATACTGATCTTTTGTTAGTGCAACTACGCACAAGTTCTATAAAAAAGTTGTGGATAAAGTAAAGAAAAAATTCGGCTTTTCAAACTTACTTCAACTCTCCATATAAGAAAATCTGCATAGTTTTTGCTAACCTTTTTGAAGGCCACATCGATATTGCCGTTAGGTTCATTCTGATGGATTCCATCATCCTACATAATAAAAATACTTTATGAGTTTATGTATATTGTATGTGATAAATCTAAACTGCTGGACAATTGCTTTCGAACAAGGTAAATATCGCCTAACTTTCAAGATCGATATTTTTGGAACCAGAATAGATATCGACCTGCGGTTTTCACGGGCTGACAGATTGACTTTTTGTGAAAAAAACTGCTATTTAGAACAAAAAATTATATGAACAACGTTAATGCTTCTTTGAGTTGATTTAAAACAAAACACAAAAAGTGTTCCTATAGGTTTTTTACGTTATATTTAGGATAACGTCGTAGAACAAGGACTGACAATGTTGTCAATGCCTTTTTTTCCTTATAATTTACCAGAATGTAATAATAAATAATCAAGACCACTGACAGCTAGAAATAACAAAATGAATCGACACGTGTTATTTATTTGAAAATGTTTATTCAAATCATACAACCCAAGTAACATTTTAAATGCTTTTTGGCATTATCTAGGTTATATGAAAGCTTTAAGATTGTGAAATTAGAAGCTTACTATTTTAAAACTAATGTGTTTCATTGAGGAGCTGTAACAACATTGTAATCACCTAATATTGCAGCTTTTTAGCATTTAAAACGCGAATAGTTTTAAAGTAGCCGTAATAATGCTGCAAACATTTCTAGCTTAAAGCTATTTTACTTTAAGAAAGATCTGAAAACCGTTCTGCTTTATCTTAGCCTACGAATAAGGAATTCAGCTGTATGAAGGGAGTGCAAAAGTAAAGCTTAAAACTGCAGTAAAACCGAAGATCAATAAACCTTTCAGGTTTCAGAACAAGATGTCTCTAAACTTCATATCTTTCTCCGATACCAGAAGGAATTGGGTTTAAGAAGGGGAGTAAAGACGCTACGTTAAATCTCAATTTTTTTTTAAGTTTCTGGGATGTGATGTAGCACATGAAAGTGGCAGGCGACATCTACCGTTCAATGAAATTAGTATTTTGAAATCTTATTTTAGCCTAACAAAAAGCTTGTTTGTGGTCTGTAAGGCCGTGTCTGTAACGTAACGGTTTGTTTCAGTCCAAAAGAAAAAAACAGGTGGTTAGGGTGGTTTACTTACAAAAGGCCTTTTCGGAAAGATAGAAAACAAACACCTGGTAATCGGATTAATGAGAATCATCGGATTTGGATCAGCGTTTCCGAAAAAGCCAAAGAATCCGGAGGCTGCCCCCGGATTCTATTTTACGAGTCGAGTCGGATTGTCTCGATATCGAATACGACAGCTCCGGACGTACCGTGTAATAAGTATTGCAATATCGTAGAATAGAATCGCTATTTTGACAATTCGATACGAATTACGACTCGACTTATAAAATAGAATCCGGCAGCTGATGTTTTCAAAATTTTATGCTATATCTAGCGAAGAATATTCAAACCCTCTCAACGCACCAAGCAGGTTCCAAGATCACGAGAGCATTGAAAAAGTTTGAATATTCTCCGCCAGATGGAAGCATAAAAATTTGAAAGCAGCCCTAACAACCTGTTTCAGACAAATAACTTGGAGTTTTATGAAGGTTTTAAAGAGCCGTTTTATCCACCAGAAGCTCTAGGAATCACACGCTTTAAAGCAAAATAGCTTTAAGAACAAATAATCCAAGGTTTGCAGGCCTATTTTTACGCAATTAAGATTTGTGGTATATAATGAAAAGAACTGTTAGCTTTATCGCTATTTCGCCATGTTTGATTGTCATTTGAACGCGTTTGAATGGAATCCATTTTGTAGAAAAATATATTCACTGTTTATTTTCAGGTATTTTGTTGAATCTGGTATTGTAATTATGATTTTAAAGCTCATCATAATTGATTCATCATTTTATGCTTCGAATATCCATAAAACGTGTAAAAAAAATGACACATTATAGGTTAGTATTTTAATATTTTTGTCAAAATTAGGGTTTTTTCAAGGCCCACGGGTTATTTTAACCTTTGAAGTACACTTTCATCAGTAAACTTGGGTTTGTTTATAAATTTCAATGCAGAATCACGTCTATCCGCGAATTATATTTGTGTAATACCACTCATAGTTATCATAGATCGTCCATTACAGATGTAGGTTTAAATTATGTTTGTGGGAAATTAAGGCGAAGTAGAAGAATTGATAAAGTTTGGTTAAGCCCCTAAGTTTTAAGAATATAAATTTTGTTGCCATTTTTATTTTAAAAAAATCCATTTGTACTTAATTTCTTCCATTTGTCTTTTCAAGGCGGCCTAATAGTTTTATCATAGACTTGGAATAAGTTTTATGGACGCTGTCAGTATAGCTATAAAACTTTGCCTTTGGAAACCTCAAAGCTTTAATAAGGTTTTATAAAAGGCTCTTAAAGCAATCTTAGGGGTGGGCCCTTGCAGTCTTAAAAGAACTTTAAAAGGGTTCTTTAATGGTTGCTAAGGCAATATGGCTTTATAAAATATTTTTATTCTGGGTTTTATAGTAACTCTTAACACTTCTTTAAAGCTTAAAATGTTACTTGGGAACGTCGCGCGCCGTTGTCAACCGGTAACATCTGAAATTCCCCTACTTTAAATGCGTTAAGAAGTACTTTCAGTTTAGTAAGGTAGATACCTAGGTAAAACGTATCAAAATAAATGAACTAAAAAACTAATCAAACTAAGATTCAATAACAACAACAAAGTGACCTAAAAGTTGAGTAATAAACAAGGTAAACTAAAACAATTATTAAAGAACGGCAGATTATCAAAGTTATAGTTAGTGAGTCCTCTCCTCACATTCACAACCTTTTGGCAACGCCAACCGTGGCATGTTGTCAACCAAGAGATTAATGAATGCCTGAGGGATATTTTGCCACTCTTCTATGGCAAGTGCGAACTCATCCAGCGTTTGTGAGCATTTTCGCGCGATCGTACCAGTAACTTAAGCTGAGACCACACAAGATCAGGAGATTTTGGAGGCAGGGGTAACTGTTGCATGTTATGGTCCACCAAATGCTCCTAAACAATTCCTGCTTTGTGTGGTCTCACATTATCGTCAACCATGATGAAATCCTCCTCAATATTTTCTGCATATGGAATAACAATGTCATTTATTATGTGATTCCGATAAATTACGGCGTTAACAGTACCCCGTGAAATGTATACGTCGGATCTATCGTTGTACATCACTCCGGCCCAAACATTAAACCCTCCTCCTCCAAAGGTTTCCTGAGAAGCCATGTTGTCTTCTTCAAATTGGTCCGTAGGTTGCCTCCATACTAACACTCTACCATCGGAGTGCATCAGGTTGAACTGCGTTTCGTCACAAAAAAAAATTTCCTATATTCGTCGTTCCATGCCATTTTATCGGTGGCTCATTCGACATCAAGTCTTCTATGGTTTGGCAAAAGGTGAACACATTTTGCTCGCGCTAGCGTTCTTCTAACGGTCCTGTTAAACGCCACTATACCAGTGTGCCTTCTTAGGCTATCATTCAAAACACTAGAGCACGAAGTTCGGTTATTGTGAACCTCTCTTAATAGAGTTCATGCTGCTCATCCCTCAATTTTCTTAGGGGCCCCACCTCTGTGCACATAGCGGACATGACCGTTCAGGCGAAAAGGCTGTTTTAGGTAATTTATAGTGCTGCCGCTTACCGAATATATTCGCGCTACATGTCTTTAGCTTCGGAATCACATAATAATTGACATTGTTATTCCATATGCAGAAAATATTGGGGATCATTTTTTCATGGTTGACCATAATGCGAGACCACACAAAGCAAGAATTGTTTAGGAGCTTTTGGGGGAGCATAACATGCAACAGTTATACCTGCCTCCAAAATCTCCTGATCTTGTGTGGTCTCAGCTTAACTTACTGGTATGATCGCGCGAAATGCTCCCAAACGCTGGATGAGTTCGCACTTGCCATAGAAGAAGAGTGGCAAAATATCCCTCAGGCATTCATTAATCTCTTGGTTGACAACATGCCACGGCGATGTCAAGAGGTTGTGAATGTGAGGGGAAGGCTTACTAGCTATTAATTAAATAACTTTGATTATCGGCCGTTCTTAATAAAAATTTTTTAGTTTACGTTGTTTATAACTTAACTTTTAGGTCACTTTGTTGTTGTTATTGTTGTGATTGAATCTTATTTGATTAGTTTTTTAGTTCACTTATTTTGATTCGTTTTACCTAGGTAGGTATCTACCTAACTAAACTGAAAGTACTTCTTAACGCATTTAAAGTAGGGGAATTTCAGATGTTACCGGTTGACAACGGCGCGCGACGTTGTATGATTTGAATAAACATTTTCAAATAAATAACACGTGTAGATTCATTTTGTTATTTCTAGCTGTCAGTGGTCTTGATAATTTTTTATTACATTCTGGTAAATTATAAGGAAAAAAATAGGCATTGACAACATTGTCAGTCCTTGTTCTACGACGTCATCCTAAACATAACGTAAAAAACCTATAGAAACACTTTTTGTGTTTTGTTTTGAATCAACTTAAAGAAGCATTAACGTTGTTCATATAATTTTTTGTTTGGCAGATAATGTAATTTACCATCCTTAACTTTATTTTGTGATACTGCTATCATTAGTGGAAGAATGTTTAATTGAAATACCTTTAAACATGAAGCTACAAAGAAAATTAGCAGGTAATAAAAATTCGGGTTTCCTCTCACCACAACGAAATCGGTTCCG